AAAAAAAAAAAAAAAAAAAAAAAAAAAAAAAAGAGAGAGAGAGAGAGAGATAAGGGTTGAGATCTATTAGAGTTACAACTGTTATAAACTTTGTGTTTTTAGACAAGGTCTCATCTCGTTCTTTTGCCCTGGCTGTAGTATAGTGGCAAGATCAGAGCTCACTACAGCCTTGATCTCCTGGGCGCAAGCAATCCTTCTACCTCAGCATCCCAAGTAGCTGGCACCACAGGTGTGCGCAACCATGCCTAGCTAAATTATTGTATTTTTTTTGTAGAGATTGGGTCTCACTATGTTGCCCAGGCTGGTCTCAAACTCCTGGGGCTCAAGAGATCCTTCTGCCTTGGCTTCCCAAAATGCTGGGGTTATAGGCATGAGCCACTGCACATGGCCAGAAGTTACGTTTAATAGCAATGCTAAACTTTTGTTTTACAAAAGTACATATCAAAATGCCTTTAATCTGTATTAGGCACTTACTACTTTTCCAATGGCTGTGTTTCACCAGGTTTAAAACAGTTTAAGATAAGGAAATGCCATATTCTAATCAATAGATTACTTTAAATTTATAACATATGGCAAGCATTCAAATTACCAAATAAATTTGAAGGTCAAGGAAAGCACTTAACCCTGAATAGCAATCTATTTTTATTATCATAAAGCACAGACATGGTTGACAGTTTACCATTAACAAATAATAACTATTACTCTCTACTTTAAAACATGATTACCGGTATTTGAAATCTTTTCAGAGCAGGCAGTGCCTGCATTTCCTGGAGCAACCAATACGTGTTTCACATGATTAGACTGTGCAAGTTTCCAGGCCAGCGTATGTTCCCTTCCTCCACTGCCAATTACAAGTACTCGGGCTGCCATTGCTCTGTCTGCAAAGCAGAATTCCAAAGGAAAATGAAACCTGTAGAAAGAAAACCACAGTTGATAACTTAGGATGCACATTTTAGAAATCCAGGGCTGGGCATGGTGGCTCATGCCTGTAATTCCAGCACTTTGGAAGGCAGAGGCGGGTGGATCACTTGAGGTTAGGAGTTTGAGACCAGCTTTGGCCAACATGTAGAAACCCTGACTCTACAAAAATATAAAAATTAGCTGGGCGTGGTGGTGGGTGCCTATAATCCCAGCTACTCAGGAGGCTGAGGCAGGAGAATTGCTTGAAGCTGGTAGAC